CAGTCATCACTTACACTTTTGGTCTTGAATGTACGCACTGTTGCTGTTGCTTGCCATCTCGGTGAACTGTGTCGCGACATTTGCCCCGTCATTTGTGCAATAGGCACAGTCTGAACCTCCTACACTGCTGCTTTTACTATCACTGTTGTAGCGTGCCTTTTATAACAGCAGAATTTGATGTTCTAGTTTGACTTGAATTCCCTTCGTATTGAAAATATGGCCTAAACAATGTCTCTTAATAATTTCTAATGTGCCTTGACATCAATTTTGAGAACATATCCTTCATTGGCTGCTGAAATAATCCCATATTTGCTGAACAAACTGCTGAAAATCACCCTTTTTAATTCGCAAAACTTGGCCTTTGCGGATATAAGTAAAAGCTTGTCCTAGCAATTTTTTGTATTACATGGTTTTATATCTTTATTAACTTTCCCCTTCCGATTTGACATGAGATCTTAAAGGCGAGTTCGACCGTCGAAATATGGGGACATTTTTAGAAATGAACGTTAAAGATTAAAAAAATAAGCGGATCTCCTTTGAACCACTTTTTAATAACCTACCTGAGTTGACCGGTCCCAACCTTAAAGACTTTCTTTGGTTATGGACTTTATCTGCTTTTTACTTTTCAGTAACAACGATTTTTAACCTTGTTTACAACAGGAGATTATACCGAGGAACGTAACGGACGACAATATCTGCGAGCTCTACGTTGCAGAATCAGAAAAGAGCCTTTATTTGGCACAAGCTGAGGAGCATCCCCAAGTTGCTCTATCGAAAACGGATCTTCAGTGGGTTCAGGTGTTAGCTGAGGGCTGGGCTTCACCACTGCGCGGTTTCATGAGGGAGGCTCAATACCTCCAAGTACTCTACTTTGGCGGACTTATTGAAGGTGCGTTAAGTTAGCTGCCGAAAGACATGATTGGCAATGTTGAATTTATTAACTTGATATTTTCGGCCCAATACCTGGCTTTGGTACTGCTTTATTTTATGGTTAACAGGACGTCAGGAATTTACAAATCTTTCCATTCCAATTGTGCTGGCCGTCACAAACGAGGATAAGGAAAAGCTGGGACCATCCGTTCAGCACATCACACTCACCTATGATTCAAAACCGGTTGCCATCCTTCTTGATATCGAATTTTATGCTCATAGAAAGGTAGGTTTCTAGTTTATTTTTCCCAAACATAAATTTGGGCTTGTGAGTGTTTATTCCACCCGTGGGCATGGGTGATTCAGTGGTAATAGTGCGACGAATTTTCTTCATTATTCCAAGGTCTCAATTTGTTTCCTTAATGAAGTACTATGATTGCGTTTTCAGTTGTTGTCTAAGCAAATTTGAGCAATAAATAAGGATGGGATATAAGTAAGCACTTAATTGCTATAAAACTCGGATTTCTTAAGTTTTGGAGTTTTCCAACTCTAGCTTTTTACTAAGAGCTTCCTGATTTATTCTTATCAGTCACTTTGGGGTTTTCAAATGTAAACTTATATTTCAGGAGGAGCGTTGCAATCGGATCTTTGGTATTTGTGATCGAGGTCACCCGGTCATTGACCAAATCATGTCCTCCGGTGATTGGCTAGTTGGAGGCGATCTCCGTGTCCTTAATCCAATTGTGTGGAATGATGGACTTGACCAATACCGTTTGAGCCCACGTCAGTTGCGCAAACAGTTCAAGAAAATTGGTGTAAGACCATATTTTTCACTTATTTATGCTATATTATCGAAGGGACTGAAATTGGTCTCATGATAACCCACATAATTGCAAATTTTCCCGTCTAGGAAGGAGGTGGTTGATGACAATGTAGCCTCCTGATTTGTTCGATTGGTTACAGTAGATGTCAACACTACATCTGATTGCCTTAAACTCATTAATATGCAATGAACGATGGGATATGGAAATCACACTATTAAACAAAAAGTAATTACCGCTTTTGGTAAATGGAAATGCACTTTTGAATCCCTCTGAGGTTGGAATTATTCCATTCAACCTTGGGGTTGAGCGCTTTCTGGTCTTAAAAATGGTACATCTTTTGTCATATTTGGAAAAATAATCGGAGCAATTCACGAGGGGTCTCTTCCGTCATTCACTGCATCACAAAGCCAACCTTCCATCCATCTTTTCATCCAACCTTCAATTCTCGCACTGCTGGTCCGCTCTCTTGTGATCAATTTGACCATCTGATTCATTCCCAGATCCCTGTTCTATTCATCCCTGATTTATGTGTTAGTCTATCGTTTATCCATTCTCTCGGGGATCATTTATCCTAGCGTGCACTCATCCAATCTTAATTCTCTCGTTTATCCATCAATTCCTAGCTTTTTAATCTTTCTATTCATCCATCGCTTGTTCGATATTACTCAAATACTAATCACTGCTAAATTCACGCTTTCAGTACCTCCATTCTTCACCCTTGGGGTATTTTCTCTTTCCTTCTTCAGACTGCTAAAACAGTTGCTTAAGGCACTTTTAGGGACACTTTTGTTGTATTTTCTCGTATCCAAAAAAAGGAATCTTAAATCCACCCCATTCCAGTTAAGTGGAGTGAAACGAGACGAGATAAGGGCTGCCACTTTTCGTCGCAAAGCTATTTTAAGCACAGAGGACAGCGCGAGACTCGGCGCTACAAGAATACCAAAGGTGCGGATGAGAATGTTAGCACTAACCATCCACTTCCCTTCCTCCTACTTTCTCATTTGCTTGAATGATAAATTGCCCCCTTTTATGCTCCCCTATCATTAAGTATTTATTTCCTCAATAACTTATCCCAGATAATGCTTTAGTCAAAGTGTTTCGAGGATTGAATTGGGCTCTCGATTTAGCCGATTGTTGTTTCTCTCCCGCAAAGGAATCAAGGACATTGCCTCACTGAAAATATAAAGCAAGGAAATATGGATCGCATCTAGTAGTGATTCGATTAAGAGTATCAAAAAAGGTGGTTTATGGATTGCGACAGAAATTTCTTGTTGCGTCGCATTTGTTTTCTTTCACCCCCCCCCTCCCCATTTCTAAGCGATTGTGGCAATTATTTGTTTGCATTCTTTGTTGTATAATTTGATTTGACTCCTGATATCATGTAATGGGAAAATTTTCCACCGTAAACATTATTTGTTAGCTTCATTTTCAGCAAAGTAACAAAAAAACCATATATTGATAAAAAGGGGCTTGTAAAAGATGAATGTTTCCCTGTTCAATCGTAAAAATTTAGGATAAATAGCAGTGGTGCTCATTTTATGTTACAAGCCTTATTAATAATTTCCTATATACTAGTTCGCATAATTTAATGAGAATTTTCTTGAATCATTTTAAGATTGCAATAACTTTTTCCTTTATCTGTACATTTGGATTTCCCATTTCTTTACCAGAAAAATCACCGTATTTTTAGTATAATTTGTGTTCCTTCTTTAGAACTATGGTAGAATTCAAGCATAGCCTCAGACATCAGAAGTTTCTTCTTTCTTTTCGGGGTGTTATTTTGCATGAATGTCAAATATCACTTCTTTGAAACCAATGCAGACAATCCCAAATGTCAACAAACGAAGCTTTCAGCTTGCGGAAAAGTGTCTGCTAATGTGGGTGACACATTTTTGCAGTTAATCTTTTGAAAAGTTCTTTATTTTAAAGGCATCTTTTTACCTCGATCGTCAGTGATATAGGGTGATATTTGTAAAATTAGGCAATTAATCTACCTCATGTTAGGTATTCATAGCACGGGTAAAAGCGACCTTGTTTTTCGTAGATCCAAAAAAAAACTTGAAAAACTGACTTTTTTGCGTATAAGTATCTTTAGGTCAAACACACACTTAATTTTGTGGAAATGCGATAAAGGTATACCACTGTGATGGTAAAGCCCGCAGTAGTAGGTGTCAGGCGTGTCTTACCAGGTATAAAAAGGGACGCTCTCGTGCCAACGCTAAACTCAGCAGTTGTTTTCCGGTGGTAGCCGACAAAAATGTCAGCTTAGGTGGGTTTGGATGTCATCGGTCACCCATGGATGGCAGACAACAGCAGCAGTGCGTACAAGCGTGGAACAGCGTGTGGCAATGAAGGAAGATTCTTGTGAATGGGAGTGTGAAATCAGAACCCGAGGATATCCGCAGATGACTTTAAACTTCTGCAGTAGGGAATGGTGATGGGACATTCAGCTATCCCACCCGTCCAGTAGTAATGCACTTGAATGGTTTGAACGTAAACTCTTCGTCCTCGCATTGTTGGCGATCCCAGTGGTAGTGGTTACGTTCCTCTCCTCCATTCAGACAATAAATGAAACAACTGATCCTGGACGCAAGGTCCGTGGTGTGGTGAAAACGCATAAGTGACGAATCCCTTTGCAGGATCGGTGAAATCAGGACAAACGGTTGCAAACATTTTCAAGTGTAGAATGCGAATGCATGGTGGATATTAAGGTAACCTTCCTAAGTAGAATGATTAAGTTCACCAACAAACGCTCATAGCTGGAAGTCCTGTAATTGCTAGTTAAAGGCTAGAATGGGTGCGTGAATATAGTATTGTGTCGAAAAATGAATGCAACTTGCACGCCGCAAAAGTTGTTCTTCTATTCTACACACAAACTTACAAATTCCCATCTTGTCTGAACAACGCTTGTAAATATCCCCTTTTTTCATCACAGGCCGATGCTATGTTCGCTTTCCAACTTCGTAACCCTGTTCACAATGGTCACGCTCTACTGATGCGCGAGACACGTCGTAGATTGATAGAGGAACGCGGATTTCATAGTCCTCTACTGCTTTTGCATCCTCTGGGTGGATGGACGAAACCCGATGATGTTCCACTGGAAGTTCGCATGCGGCAGCACCAAGCTTGCCTTTTAGATGGCGTTCTCGACCCTCAACACACCCTTCTTGCCATCTTCCCCTCTCCGATGATCTACGCGGGACCAAGGGAGGTCCAATGGCACGCTAGATGCCGACTGATGGCAGGCGTTCACTTCTACATTGTTGGAAGGGATCCCGCCGGTTTGCCGCATCCATCAAAGCCGAATACTGACCTCTACGATCCTACGCATGGCGCTAAGGTTAGGTGATGTTCTTTTCAAGCTTTTATGTATCTAATTTAGCACCTTCAGCTGTCTGGAAGTCGGACTTTTGGCGAATCTTTCATGGGTTACTTAATAATGTGTATTAATGTAGGAGGTTTTAGTAGCCTCCAGGAGGGGTAAAAACTCGGTGATTGGGTCTTGAGCTCCCGTAATTAGATGAACAAATACCATTTTACTATCTAATCTCCTTCGTTTGAGCGTCTTTCTGAGGAGTTTTCATCGTAACTTTTCTGCGTCATCCTTACTGAGTCTTTCTGTGCATTGTAATAAACTACCAGAAATGAACGAAGACGATGATTTTCTGTTATGGAGAGGACTGTGCTCTTTGTTAGTTGTACGTGGTGTAGGTTCGGATGGGATTCTTGAATTTTCTGTCCCCTGCAGGGTAAGTTGTGTAGGACGGGTTGATTCAGACGGTAGTACCCAGCACTAAACGACATTCTAGAGAGAACATATCCTGCACAATGAGCGCTTTTAGTTGTAGCGTTTTTGTAAAAGTGATTTAGAAAGGAAGGTTGCTGTGCTCTCAGAATATGGTACAAATAATTACTTTCGTAGTCGTAAAGTAAGCACTACTTTTGGGGCGTTTTTTATTCGTTAAAATCTGGTCTCACCCTACTTGTGGGCATTGTTTAATGCTCGATGTTGACAGCGTGCTGGAAGTTTATGGCTTTCCAACCTCTTTTTAGTGGATCTTGCAGGTTCAGCCCCTCACAACAGATGCTCTCCAATAACATCATGATTCGCTAGCCAAAAGACGAAGGTAGAAACTTATTCATTTGAACTGGGTTTACTCTAGATCCATAATAAGGCATGCTAATCTAGAAGGTTTGTTGTTTTTCTACAGAAGGGCTGAGACCACAGACATTAACTGAAAACAAGGCGATCAAGATGGTGGTAGGACTCGAAAATGATGGAGAGCCTGAGTGTTTAGTCAAACGTTACAGCGAGTGTCTTTTCTCTTCATTGTCATTTGTAATCTTCGGACAAACTGCCATTCCACGTACAGATCAAAAGCTGTTGCAGCCCTTTCAATCAACCAGATCCTTTAATCTTCTCTTTCTTCTTAGTAAACGTGCAATGAATGATTCATTTTATATTAGAGCATCCTAATTTTCTTCCGGTTTTTCCTCGTTGTTCATACCCTTTTCCGCATTCTGCAACACGCTTGGAAGCTTATATTATCCGCAGCGGTGGCAAAGAAGACGTAAATGATAATCACGAAGCCTGTACTTTAGGATGAGGAAGCAAATCCGGAGAACAGTGTGTTTGTGAAACTCTGTACTCCTGAGTTCTAACTGAAGAGCATGAACTCAGGGTTTGGGAAATTTTCCCCTTTGCTCATGGCTAGAGTCATTATGCTTAGTAGTATGACTGATGTGTTTACCCTCTAATTCCTCCTCCTCTGTGCCGGCTGGAAAGGCGCCACTATCACTAGCTGGAGCTGGAGGCCATCTGGCATAAATTTTAATGCCGTGGATTGGAGTAAGTAAGGCCCTCCACCGTCTTCATTAATTTTCCTCCACAAGGCCTTTTGCAGCTACAAAATGCGTTTCTTTTTTGCGCTGTGTTTCCTGTATGCCCTGTCGACCTGCATTCGGCTTTTTTGCCTCAGTCTTAGCTGCTCTTGCGTGGTTGTCATTCAATGTCGCAAATAGCCAGGCACAAAACAATCGACTGCTTAATTTTTCCTCCTCATTTTGGATTGCTTCCGGCAAGGACAAGGCAGGTGGCCTTCCCCTCCCCTTTTCCTGTCTTGCAAAATAAGTAAATGTATAAGAATTCTGCCTATTTGTGCTTCAGTTCCGATGCGCCACAAGGTAGTTTGTTTTACAGCCCCTTATTTATTGTAAAATAACCAAAGTTTGATCAACTTTCTGCGGCACTTTTATTACCGCAAAGTCATCGATGCTGGTCATAATTGTTGAAGCACATTTCTGAGCATTGGAAATCGTGAAGTCTCTAGCAAGATGAATTGCCATCTTCATCTTTAATTGCATTGTCAAGTGATTACCACGTACTAAAACTGCTTAATGACGATTGACAATTTTGATTTTTCGCACCTAATTAAACTATGTATGTAATTGTCTAATAAGGTGGTGAATTCTAAAATGCTCCATTTTTAACACGTAGAATTAAATTAGGTCTCCTTAAGACAAATAGTAGGTATAATTTATCAAAAATTGTAAAGAAGTCGAGATATTTTATGCGGGATATCTGGGATGAGAAATTAGTTACAATTATCGTGGGTTGATCAGAAACTTCTAGCAAATAGGTGACCGAAAAATTGATCCCGTTTTCAGTTTATTTTGCTGAAATTAACTGCAAAGTGTAATCTGCGGCCTGTAAATTGCAACCTGCAGGAGCTGGTCGAAATCATCGTAAAACACACGTATCAGGCCATTGATACAGTGCTGTGTATCCTGAACCTGGCCTTATATCATCAGGCGTCAGGTAAACACGATGGGTACAATTTGAGGCCGTCCACTTTACCGACAGAGGTGAATTCGAAATCATATTTGCAGAACCATCTTGTACAGTTTATTGTAGAGCATTTGGAGAAGGTGAAGCGTGCAGCAGTAGACATTGCCGCCTAAAAATGGTTTAAATAAGCAATTTGCTGCCGGTAATGAATCGTCCGGACATCGGTAAATGTGTCGATTTGAAGAAGGTGCTTTAGTCGAAGTGATGATGAAGGAATACTTGTCACTACTACTAGTTTAGTATAATTACAAATTAAAGTGTCAGAAGCCGCTTTCACCAATGCTCGCCGTGATTGACGATAAAACAATGTGCTTACACCCACATTAACTGGGAAGGCTGTGGGCGTTGCCGAGCGTCTGGGTGTTGCATGCCATGCATTAGTGGACGGCGATGAGTTTCAAAGCCTACCAATTAGTTACCCTTCTTCTATTCTTCCATAAATGTTGTGGAAGTGGTGCATACATTTTAGATTGTTTGTTGACTGACTGGGTGGTTTGCAATGAGGAACGGCTTTTGTATCCCAACATCCGTTAAGTGACCGAACATATCATTGGTCATCCCAAACCGATCCACTCACTATCTACTCTGCACATGCAGACATCGGTTTATCATCAAAGTACTAAACTTGCTTTGTGTGGTGTACTACAAACGAAATTGCTCGGTTTATGATTTCAGAGGTGCGATATATTACTGGATTATTCTCAAGCTATCTGGTGATCTTAGTTTACTGAAACCGATGTTCGAAAAACGGAAGTTGACTCTCCATAGATTGTGCTTGACTGCTGCAGTTTTTTCGTGACAAACACTGTATTTAGACCATGTAGAGTAGAAAGTCATGAACCAATTAACTTTTGTTTTCCTTTCTCAACCTTTAGGTGCTGTCGATGGCACCGGGGTTGAAGGGTCTTGAGATTGTACCGTTCCGCGTAGCGGCATACAACAAGGTGCATGGAGCCATGGAGATTTACGATTCAAACCGCGCGGACGATTTCATCTTCATCTCGGGAACCAAGATGCGCACTCTGGCAAGGGAGGGTCAGCAGCCACCAGACGGTTTTATGAGTCCATCCGCGTGGCAGGTTCTTGCCGAGTTCTACTCACAACAACAACAGCAACAACAACAACAACGGAAATGCAACCCCGCACCCCATAATTAATCATCTTTTTCTAATTTCTCACTCATTTCTTTGTCGACGCTGGTGTTCTCAACAATCGAAAATAGTGATACCTTATGATTGATTCGACTAATTCCTTTATTAAATTGTCCAACTTTCTCTATTTCAATTTTAAATAGTTACAAATGGCATTCAAGCATTGTTTTCCATCAAAGTCAGGGCGATAACGAATTTAGTGATGGACTCAGGTAAAGCATCGAATTCGGAATATTTGTCCTCAAATCAAGAATTGTTTGTTTTACCTGAACCGTAATACAGGTTGACAATTTTTGGAAGTACCACAGGTACTGCTCATAATGCTGCGGACCATTGCTTGTGCACGTTGTAGGCGATGGAATTGCAATATGTGCAAATCGTTGAAAGCGTTCTAGACAAACTGGGACTTCTGAATTTGCATTCAAACTTTAAGAATTTCAACTAATTGGAAATGTGTTTATTTCCTGCAGTTGTTTCCTGCTGCTACATCCATACACCAACATTTGGTTTGGTTCGCCATGAAACCTTGCCAATGTAGCTGAACCATCCTGGTGCAGTTACCTTTGAAATAGTGACGCCATTTAATCACTTGTTGTGCTGTGGCCAGATGCTCTGTCACAACACTTTGACCAAAGTCTCTTGTGGGTTCTAATTTCCCAGCTTTATCAATGCACGCTGTTTCATGCCACCTTATTTAACGATACCTGAACCTAGCTTGCTGGCTACCGGTACGGGTAACGGAGCACACTTGACGCCCACTCCGTGTTGTATTGCACGCCTGCATCCATTCTTACGCATGTCTGTGAGATTAACGGTTCTGATCTGGCTTGAATATTCCTGTTAGTTCCCATGGGTGGGTCTATGGATTAGTAAGGCCTGATTGATCAACGCCGGGTTAATAATGTTGCAGGAAAGAACTCCAGATAACATGTAGTCAAGCAATAAACGT